CGTGGGCCGGAGTGAGTGGACTCCACTCCAGTACCGTGCCGGACCGGGGCCATTGTTATCCGAGCAGTTGTCGTACTGGTTCTGCACGCCCCCCCCCCTCGATGGAGGGGGCGCTGGAAGTGGACACAGTCCATCTGCAGCCCGGAGCAGTGTGGCGGCCTGGACGGGCGGACAGCGGAGGCATGACGGGCGCTGCCCCGCTCAGCCGCAGCCAGTCCCTCGCCAACGCCCCAAAACCGATCAGCTCACCGGTACAGTGACTCGGCAGATGGTGACTGGGACCGCTGGTGATTGGTGACAATCTACGGTATTGATTCCCGATGACAGAGGTTATCCCAAAAGAACCACGTTACTAGGCACCTGACACGGAAAAGCAGGCTGTTTAATCACGAACAGACGGCAGTGTCCATTAGTAAAGCCGCTTCGGTTCGTGCCGACGTCAAGTCCAAAAACAGCGACTGAATCGATGGTTGAGGCCAGCCACCGCGCCGGCGATACGGTTCTCAGAAGCTGCCAGCAACACTGCTAGATACAAACAAGTCAACGCTGCAGAAATTCAAACAAGTCAACGCTGCACGAATTCAAACAAGCCAAGATCCATCAGTTCTGCTTAGAGAGTGAAGGTCAACATAATTCAAATTGTAGTCGATCTATTTACATCCCTTCTGCCGAGCCAGAAGTTGAGCGTCACCACACGGATGCAACGTCCAGTGGGCGAAACGCGGCATATCTCCTAGTTGGCCGTGACGTCATAAGCAGAGGCGACGTTTCAGAAGCGTGACCTCCGCCGCCATCTTCCAGTTCACTCCGGCAGGAGCGGAGAGCAACCGGCAGGCTCCAAACGGGACGAGTTTCCGAGAAGCCGTCCGCGAATAGCATCCCGGCCGGAGCGGCCGAGGCGAGGCGAGGCGATCCGCTCTTATCCTCAGCGGGCGCCGTGTCAGCCGAGCCGCTGATCCAATCTGCCGGGATCAGAGTCGATTGCCGGTCCGCGGCGGCTCACGCGTCTCCCTCCCCGGCGCCCCTGCCCTGCACGCACGTCTGGGGGCGACGCAGCGCGATAAGCGAGCTGCCAACCGAACTAGGCCGAGGCCTGCGCTCGGGTCGCCCGGTCCGCCGATCCAGCTGGGGTCGCGGGAGGCGGGGCGGCGGGGGGAGGGGGGCGTCGCGTGCAGACCGACTGCCAACCGACCGGCCGGCGGGCGGGCGCGGCACGGCGGCCGGCGTACTACGCAGTACGACCAGTTCATGTCAGGACGCCGCGGTTGCCGGCCGGACGAACCCGACCCGCCGCACCACCAGAATACACAGAATGCAACCGAGACGCGGGCTGCAGCCGCCTCAGACCAGCGAGCCAACTGCAATCACAGAACGCTTCAACTACAGCGGAATGATATAAACAATTTACTTTCGTTGATGGTAAGAATGAAATAAAGCAAATATTAGACACTCATCCAAGACCTGAGGCCTCACATCAGTCAGTTATCATGAAAGCTCCATGCACATTGCACACTTGATAAGTGCATTTGAATATCGCACAAAGAAAAAAGTGACGATAAGTTGACTCATCATGACGCACTCCAGATAAAGAACAACGACCGAACGATGGCTGATGTCCTTGAGCAGTCGTTCACCAGTTCACCTCACAATGCGGTTCGACAACCACACTCCCGCCCGCACGCCTGTTTTCGGCAGCAGGGAGCCGGTCGATGGCCCGGTGGAGCAATAGTGAAAGAAGTGAGAGCGAGCAGGGCGAGAGGAGGGAGGAGGCGCGGCGGTGCGGCGACTTCCGCACGCACCCCATCATCACCGGCATCCCGCGTGACGCGATGACGCTCACGCCGACACGCATCCTCCGCCCGAGAGAACAGAGGCAGTGCCGCCGTGTCGGCAAACAACCAGCGGATGCGGGGTTACGAAACCATTCCGCCGCCGCCTCCACCGCGCCGCGCCGGCACGCACCGTCATAGGCGCCCTTTCAGAGTGGGCCGCCCGCTCTTCGGCCGCCGTGCGACCCGAGTCACTCAATGCGTGGTTTCGTGTTTCGCACCTGGGCTCAGTTCGCTCGACGCCAGTCCCGCATGCCACCATAGTAGGTTGATGACCCAGGGCCACTCATTAGCCTGAAATTACGCAAATGACGCCCGGTATTATGCGTGTATGGCGCTATTATCTTTGCAGGCTTCAGCGCCGGGTGCCCTCATCCATTTCCAGGCCGTAGATACCATCTACCCATGACGTTTCCGTAAAATATTTGCGAAATAAATGACGTATGGCTTCCTGGTATTTCATTATTTCGTTTGTTATCTCCCAGCATCTCACGATGCGCATGGAACGCCCATAGTAAGCAGAGCCTTCCGCAAGGTCCTGGGTCGTGAAGACGCCACTCGTGAGGGTTGAGGCGGGGCAGTTGCAGCTGGGGAGGGGCGGTAGTGGGGGGGGGGGAGGCAGAGGGCAGGGTGCGGCGGCCATATCGCTCCGCGGAGCTCGCCGTCGTGCCCCACCTGTCAGTCACATGCCAGCCGAGCACCGCTGGCCACCCGGCGCGGCCGCCCGGTGGTATTACTGGGTATATGGGTGAGCGGGGAGGAGTGAGGGAGAGAGGGAGGGAGGCGGGGCACTTGGGCAGGCACGGCCAGTCGCCGCTGCGCTGCCCGGCTCCGTCGCCGCCGTCTCCGCCGCGTCGGCGAGCGTCCGGCGGCAAACAAAGGAGCTGGCGACGGCCGCAGCGTCGGCGCACTCTCCCCCCCCCCCCCCCGCCCTCCCCGTCCGGCCCCAGTCAGCTGACCCGCCATGTGCTCGACGATCAATAGCGGCCGGCCGCCTCAGTCAACAAAGGAGCTCGGCGGCCGGCCGGCGCACACGCAGCCCCCCCCCCCCCCCCCCGCCAGGACCGCCCCACCCAGGCCCGACCGGCACCCGCCCACCGCCCACCTCGGGTATGGCCGACATACAGCAAAGACAAATCTACCATCGGGAGAACCAACACCAAGAAACTGACAAACCTCATAGAAGCTCTTACAAGTATACTACGATCGGTAGCATTTAGGGACAGTATGCTTACTGCATTGGCAAGGAAATCACCAAGACTGAAGGCATCAGTTACAAGTTGTTCACACTTACCGGTTTTTCTCCAGCTCATTGTGGGTTGACCTGGAAAATAATTACCAGTCAATGTTACCACACAGCTAGACAAGGACAGGATTGTCACCAGTTCTCCTTTGAATTGGATAACAGCTTGACATCGAGCACTAGCATCATATTTTCACCAGAAGTCCAGCAAGAAAGGCTCACCTGCTTCCAGCACCCTTCCTTGACTTCATATGCCTCTTGGTGACATGCTTAGATGATTCAATGATGATAGGCACAGTTGAGGCGTAGCCATGCTCAGCTTCTGAAAAAAAATAAGAAATTTGTTAGTACCTACCCCAATCAAAATAGCTAGAGCAGGCCAGGTGATTTGAGGTATTGCACAAGAGAACCTGACACTGACACTGTAGTTAGATAAACTAGTTACAACAAACATACCTGCACTGAAATCAAGGCAAATGACAATTCACAGTTCTTAAAATAAAGCAAATATCACACCAACCCTAACCAAATTATTTTTATTTGAAACTTACATCTTCTGAAGCATCTTCCTTATTTCATGCTACACTTTAACATATTACAATAGGTTGTCATAAGCAACTGGAATAGGTACATATTTTTCAGACAACAATCAAAAAGCTCAATGTTAATGAAAATAATATCTGTAATAACATATTACATGGGATACCCACTAGTTCACACTTCGGGTCATCTGAAAAATAGTCATGTCTACTACAATTATTGTCCTCGCATATATGTGCGGATAAGAAACAAACATGCAAGCAATCAGCAATCACTAAATTAAAATTAAATAGCAAAAGAATATCATAAAAATCCAGTACACCTATGGGCTTTTGTTGATCTTGATCTGACAGCATACTGAAAAAGCATTGGTCCCCAACCAATGTCAAAGTCTCACAAAATCATCTACCACAATAAGGAATGTCAATTTGAATTGTAGGCTTTCAAGCTCAACCAGTGCTTGAAAATGCTGGCCGAGCAGAGACAGAACATGCTTGAATATTACACACATTGTCAAGAACCAAAAAAGAAATGGTTATTGAAACATCCTAGCAAAGGTAAAGCAACGCAACAAAGAATCATAGGAATCGACAGCACACCCACCTCTCTCCCTCCTCTCCAAGTATTCGGCAGCCTCAATAAGAGCTTCAATAGACATTCTTGTTTTCTACTTTATCTACTGTTTAGCTTCGTAACAACAATTTTCGCCACCTACAACGGACGAAATAACAAGTTGGCCCCGCCCAAGCTTTCCTCCGATCCTTTCGCTTCCAACACCAAGCAAACACAGCACTCTCCAAACACAGAAGGCCCTCTACTGCTATTCAAGGTGGCTGAAATAGATATAGTTTAACCGGAACAAAGACGCTTCAAACTCTGCTTTAAGTCGCCAATTAATGACGTCAATATATATTTTAAAAGAAAAATTTTATGCTTTGCATTTTCAAACAATCATTAAACAAGATATTTGAGATAAATAAATTATTGTGCAGTAGCAAAAATAAATAAAATGATTAATATAGGTCAAAAATAAATATACGTCAAAAGGATAAAATCCCTTTCATCTCTTTAGTGGAATCTGATGACCTGTTTTCCTATTTTTGGGCTGGAAAGAAGCGAAATAAAATGACAGGTTTAAAGAAATTTGATGACGTCAATTTTAAACAATCTGCAAAAATATATTTTCACTATATTTTTGTGCAAAAAATAATTCAAATTTAATGATTTAGGACTTGTTTACACAATAAATTGCCCTCAATTAATTTTTAACACAAAAAAAAACAATTAAAACATCATATATTTAGGCAATGAATTCTTCCTTCAAGCAGAACCAGAAACCCACAATGACCTTGAGATCAGCTGTTCGATGTAAACACTGAATGGTGATGAACACGTGAGGGGGTTGGCCGTTGGAGTATAAAATTAATGGTATAATTGGCCTTTTTCATGGATGAAATGAGCAACATAGCTTCGGAATGTTGCGAGCCTTATGATATTTATCTTGATTTCTTTGCAGTTGGTCCTGTGTAAACACAGTGTTCCAATATTTTGTGGCGGCAGTGCTGGCGCACCTCAATTCCTATACGCCTAATCCACTGCTAGGCTATAGAACTCAGTCTTTTGCGATTTAGCGGAAGTAAGCTGACACTAAACTGAAACCTGAACTTGGCCAACTGGGCCCTGTCCTCTGGACTGCAAAAAAGCAAAGGGTGGCAGAGTTATCTATATACTGATTACTGTGGGTGGCAGTAGTGCCAACTGCCAATCAGCCGCATCAGCATCAGCTATGATCATTGCTTTCCGTGATAACTAATTTTCGGTCCTGCGATAACGATAAAATAATAATAAAGGTTTGCGATAATGATAAACGATAAGCGATAAAAATTTTCAAAAAATTAACAGTGATAGCATTAAAGCGATAAAGCGATAACGATAATTGTTTTTAACAGCGGTAACAAAACGATAAATGATAAAACGATAATGATAATTGTTTTTAACAGCGATGACGAAACGATAAACAATACAACAATAACGATGATTGTTTTTAACAGCGATAACAAAAGTGATAAGAAATGCAGCTTAAATATTTGTACCTACTTAAAATTTATTTGCAGATCTATACACTTTGCAGATGGCAACAGGCTGCGCACACATACTGTCGTGCGGCATACACTGTCGATTGTCTTCCATTTTTCCATCATCCCGTTTTACATTTTATCGTTTATCGTTCATAATTTTTGTTACTTGCGATAAGTGGATGAGCGATAATTTTGAAAATTTAGCAATATACGATAATGATAACTGATTTACTTAACAGCAATAATTATCATTTATCGTTTATCGCTCATCCTATCGCATGTGGAAACGACTGGCTATGATGACAAATCTTTGCCAACCTTATTCCTTGGCTGAGCATGTCCTATTGACCTGCACAGCAGCTGCTCATCTTGATGCCATGCCAATGCTGGGGCCTGCTTTGCGTTTAATCCACACAACACCGAGGTGAATCCGCATCACACAGCTCATATTGGCTGAGTGCCTCTGCAACAGCAAAATGTTCTTGAGATTGCCTTGCTTTGCAGTCTGGACCCTGCCTAGATCTAGTACATATTGAAATTAATATAGAAAGCATAAGTGTTTTTATATAACCTTTTTACAAATTACAACCATGTTTAAGTGCTGCCCTGCTTGGATATGTATAACATTTAACTTTGAATGTAGGCTGAGATTGAGCTGGTAAGGGCTTAATTGATTGTGGGCTGAAGTAGGGCTAACTTTTTTTCATGCCAGCTGTAGCTGGCCATTCAGGAATGATGAATTCTGTTTGCTGGCAATTGATAGGGATGTGTAAGTACTCATTTAAATGAATTCAAATTTCAAATTTGAATTAGTTTGACTTTGTTTGTATACTGCCGTCTGACAGAGCTGAAACTTAGAGCTAGATGCATCAAAAATGAAGAAGGGAGTTTCAATAAACTTCTCAGTCTAAGGTGTTTGCTTGGTCAAAGCTTATGTTATGTGCTTACACATTTTCATCAGCATTCATGCATTGAAACACTATAACAAATATCGTGAGGCAGAACCTACTCTGTGGGGTGCAATGGTGACATTGGTGGGGTGGGACTAAGGTTTTGTCTATATGATCTAGGAGACAAAGTCCATCCAGTTTCCCCACATTATCTAACAGTACCACTTTTCAGCTCCTACTTGCGATGTGTGGCACACAAGGAGTCAATACTAGTCGTGCACTGTACAGGCACTTGCTGCGGGAAATCAAGAAGCTTCCGGCTGATGCCAGGCCACATTACAGGCACCATGTGCGGCAAGGTTTTAACCAGCACAGAGATGAGACAGACCCAGAAAGGGTGCAGCAAATTATCAATCAAGCTGTGAAAGATGCAGTCTGGCTTGTTAATAAGGTGAGTTGGTGACTATGGTTTGAAGGTGATTGTAGTGGCATGAAATAGAAAGTGCAAGCATTAAGGTGCTTCTTCTTTATTCTTTATGTTAATCTTACACTGCATCATATTTTTCATATCAGATGACATTTTTGACTGTCTGTTTGTCTAGCTGAGTGTCTATAATCGTGTCTATAATCGTAATCGTGTCTATTAAAGCTTTTAATCGTGTCAAATGCGTGCGTCAGATGCAGATTATTCTGTCTCCTCCTGTTCATCATCGACGCAATCCGTTATATCATATTAATCATGGTCGTATTTCTGTTGTTACAGTATTCAAGGAAGCCGTCGTGACGCGTGATACCCTGCTTGGTAGATGGACTCTTCGCTTGGTAAGGGTGCGCACATTTGTGAAAGTGTAGCCATGATTGATAATTGGTTGTGCCATCTTTGCCTTTGGGGTTTGTTATTATAATAAAGCTTCTCTGGGTCTTCGTCAGATTTATTCCATCACGCTATTTACGGCATTTCTGTCGGTACCAAGGCTTCCAAAAATTCTTTCAGCATTGTCAGCATCGAAAACGTAATCTGCCCCGAGACCTGTACTGTCACCCCGTTCACGATTTCCTTATAATTCCTGTTCACTCTCAACTGGCGCATTGTGCTTCTCTAAACGATGCCTCGGTCTGCAGGGCGGTTGTTGGATGTTTGTCTTGTTGCGACATCGGTGTTTGTAGTGTTTCTACTCCCCGCCAGGCGGTTCTTTTATTGTTTTATATGATTTATCAGGCCATCGTCGAGCTCATTGGAAATCGGAGCTTGTATGCTGTGGATTCGTTAAGACTACTTCTGGCGGTACTTATTGCAATTTTCATATCCGCCAGGGGCGTCTATTTTCGATTCATCAGCTGAGTATGATTTTGTACCCGGTGCCTCCAACCTTTCCCCCGTTGATCGCGCTGAGCACCTTTACGTATCGTAGGTAGGTATGCAGGTCTGACTCGACTCGTTCCAGTCAGATATAATGTTGCATGATGTGTGGACATGACTATATAATAGACTGCTTTGAGGAAGGTTGGATAGAACAGTGAGTTTATGCGTGTGCGCTGGGGAAGGAGGGGGGGGGGGCAGTGCTCAGCTCGTTTTCCGGCTAAAAGTATGTTTTGTCTTACTTTAGTCTTTAACACAATCGCGATGATACGATTTATTAACAAATTGCATATTTACAAGCTCAAACACACGTTTACTAGCATGGGACCGTAATGTATGTGTTACACTGTGCGATCTTGGTCATACAAGTGGTCCTGGGCACTGGGTATTAGGTGCACTATTGCTCTGCCGTTGGGCAACACAACAAAATATTGCAAACATGTTACAACGCTGTAAACGACCGCCTCTATTCACGGCCGCGACTCGCAGCATGCGTAAATTAAATGGCTGGAAATACTTTCACTCTGCATACGCGCCATAAATAAGACAAACAAACGACAATTAACAGGTCACTGAAGGTCATAAAGTTGGCTAAACAATTCACTTGCGGACTTTTTAAGTGAAAGTACGCGCGACAAAGCTCATACTCATGCCTCGTTAGTTTTGTTCACTCTCATACTGTTACATTGCAACTAAATGTGTTTGATGCAACACAGTTTGTCGACATCAACTGTTGTTCTGTCTTTATCGGGTCAGTTCAGAGCCATTACTGTAGACTTGAAGCGAGCTAACTTTGTTTGTAGTTTGTACAGATAAACAGGATAAGACAGTTACAACGTTGTGCTGCTGGGAAATTACTGAACGGCGATACATGATTAGTATAGTTTAAACAATGTTAGCAATAAGTACAAGTACTCAACTCAACAACTTAACCTATCATGTTATCAACACCCTCACTCGACCTCTCATCGAGTTGCACCATAAACAGTCTGATGCTGCATTTTGTCGAGCCGGGCAGCGATGCTCCGGCGAATCTACTCCACTCGCTTACGAGTTCATTCCGCGCTCATCTGGTCCAGGGAGCTCCGTCAGCCGGCCAGCTCAGCTCTCTCCACATAGGGCGGCCTCTCGCTCTCGCTGAAACACCAGCCGCTCGAGCTTGGCGATCCCGCTCCGGTGGCGCCCTCCCGTGGGAACACCGAGAGCGCTGGCCAGCAGTCGCCCGGCAGTCGGCTGGATGGTGGCGCCACCGGCGACGGAAGCCGGAACGTCAGTCTGTGAATCCCGGCCGGTAGACGGCGCTGAGGTCGAGTCGCGGCTGTTGTCCGCCGAAGGGCTGCCGATCTCGCCATCGGAGCTGGGGGCCGGGGATGGGCTCTTCCCGGCAGGGGTGGAGTCTTTGTGGTTCTGCTCCACGAGGCTGGCTTGATTCTGCGGTCCACTGGTAGCGTCCACAGCAGCAGAAGGGGAAGGGCTGCTCGCCTTGCCTTCAGAACGGGTAACTGCAGCCGGGCTGCCACTGGACTTATCGCTTCCCTCAGTCGCCACTGCAGTCTTCTCTTCTTCAGCTACTGTGTCCAGCACCACGGTCGATTTCTCGACGTTCGGTACAACTGTTGGCTGTTTGCACTCAGCGTTGTCCCTCGGGCTGACTGCCTTACTGACAGGGGAGCCTTTGAGACCCTCAGCAGGCGCCTTGGTGTCACTCGCAAAGTCTGACGGAGTGTCGGCAGCGCCCGACTGTTTGGCTGCGGCCGCCTTCAGAGCAGCCGCCTCCAGCTCGGCCTTCTTCCACTTGGTGCGGCGGTTTTGGAACCAGATCTTCACCTGTGGGCGAAAACAGAGCAGGGTTAGCACCGAACCGAGTGGTGTCAGTCGCACGGGTATTAAATCCATCCGGGCCCGCAACTACGTCGTTGGAGGGATGACGCTGTTTTTCTTGCATCAACAGGCATTTGTAAGGATCTATGGATACTGAAAACAGGAGAAATTAGGATAACTCGAAACAATTCTGGAAATTATGTCATCACCTAACATAACACAATGCTCCGGGTCGCAGGACGGCTTTTATAGACGTTCCCATGGCTGGGACGAGTTGCCAGATTTGGGTGAGAGCACCTGGCATCGTGCGAGTAGCGGACGTGGGAAACGGTGGTGCGTGACCGCCGTCAGCGACCGCCGGCACGAGCGCGTGTGGCCGTATCAGGAAGCCAGGGGCCGAGCGGAACGGTCGAGCAGGTCTATGACCCCGCGCAGTGCGGGATTTGTGAACTGGGCCGCCGCTCGCGTAAACGAGAGCTACACGCTCGGGCGTGTTGCAAACAGTGGTGGTTTTGTAATGAGCGTACGTTGCCGTTCTCACGCCATGTTGGAATGGACAATGCACTTAGTGTACGCTTAAGTCTAAAGTCTTAACACCGTACATTTAACAGATACATGGTGATAACCACTGAAATTGGTAAACGCGTGATCAGGGCGAGGGCAAAACAATGCTGGGATCTATTTTTGCCGCAACATTCGCACAAATAGTATATGAAGACCCACCCGAGTCTTTCCTGTTTATCACCTCATTCTTTATCCTTCTTCAACTTCTCCCCGGAGACAAAAATCCTCCTCCCTCCCCTTCTAGCGTCACCTTAAAACGCCAATTAGCCCACAGTTGACGGGGTGATTCGGCGAAATGTCTGACGCAGGCATCTGGGTCATGACGATCACCAGTTCCCGCTGGCCCATTGACGTAATGGCAGACGCGAGCCGGAACCGGGCTGGGGGCGGGGGGGGGGGCAGACATGACCGCTTGTCACAGCCGGGGCCACGATAGCTCCCACGGCTAACCAGAGCCGTCTCTCTGACCTGGTGATGTTCCCGTTTTGAGAAAATATGTGGCCCGTTTTGGATTTAGAGTTGGCGGCCTCGCATATTCGACTTGAGTCTTGGTGTCTTTATACCGCGTCTCGCAGACTTGAGTTTTCATAATGTGCTGGCCTATATTTTGAGATTAACCTTATGATTTAGGTACTGGACGTTTATACTATAGGTATTCCGGAGACCTTTTCATTCGCGAACTCGTAAAAATTGACAGAGTCATCGACCTAACCACAAAATAATGGATATATCTAAGCAATTACCCAGCACGAAATTCGCACGATTCCGTGTGCGTGCGACGTTTGTGACGTCTTCACTGCGTTATACAATGCCGGCTCTCACAATTTGTCATAGAAGCAGCTTGTGCGGCCACCCGGGCGAGACTAACGTCCGGAAATAGCTTCCGCTGCGGCGCGATCGGATGGACCAAGGCCATCGTCGCGTGCGTACAATTAACGCCCCGTGCTTTGATCGAATGCCCAGAAGGAGATTCACAATGCTGTTGTAGTTCCTTCATTCTGCGCTTGGTCAGCCTCCAGCGCTCGTCTTTGACACCGCGGCCGGCCCCTCTGCTGCGGGTCGCTCCGTCGCGGTGCGGTGACATCTCTAATGACCGTCTCATTCGGGGCGCTCTGTCGACCGTCAGCGGCGTCCCAAAATACACACGGACGGCCTGCCGCGCGGACTCTCCCATCACGCCTTCGCTGTTCGTTTCGGCCTGCCAGCACTGTCTGCCAGAGCCGCGACAGAGGCGGGGGCGCCGGTAGTTGAACCGCTCTCCTCCGCGCCCTCCCGATATGTTCTCCACAACTGCAGAGTGCACCACTAATCAGCCGACAGATACTAATTCGTGTCTGGCCGGCGGCGGGCGGCGGCCCTCTCACTCGGGGTGGGACAGCTCGCTCGTCCTCCCTCCGTCGCCAGCGACGCTGCATCGTCGGCGGTGACGAGGTGCACGTTGCCATGGTGACGGCGCCGCCGCCGCCGTCGGTCGCCGAGTGCGTGCGGTATGGGCGGCTGGTGGCGAGAGGCCTCGTTTCGTGCCCGCTGGCTCTTTGCTAGCAAGTAGCACGGCTGTGTGCCAGCGGCAGCCGGCGGCCGTGACGGAACCGCAAGGCGAAACGGGACGGGAAGGAAGAGGGGGGAGGGAGAGAGTCCGCAGTGCACAACGAAACTCGGTGGAAATTGGCACACAACACGCTCCACGAAACTTATTTATTGCTTAAATTCGTAACTGGCTAAATGAAGCTAAAATGGGTGGCCTGACTTCATTCACAACACATTCAATGCGCACCGAAAGCCTGGAAAGGTGGCGACTTGGAGCTCTAGCAATCAATTTCAGCCCAAACTGTCCAGAAACACATACCTGTGTCTCCGTAACGTCCAGCAGTTTGGCCATCTCTGTGCGTTCCGCGGAGCCGAGGTACTTTTTGATCTCGAACTGCCGCTCCAGCTCGAAGATCTGGTGACCGGTGAAGGTGGTGCGCGCCTTCTTCCGCTTTCCCTCCGGCTCGTCAGGGCCTCCCTTCCGCTTCTTCAGAGGCCGATCTGCGGGAGGAGTGACGATGAGTTAACAATGAACGGGGGAGTTACTACAGGTCGATGCACGGTGAAGTCATCGGGTTATTCATTCGATACTTTGGGGAGGTCAATTGCATGCCACCAATATACAAGTTAAACATTGGTTGACGGCAGACCAGATAGCAAAGTTACAGCTAAATCATGACAATTCAATTAGACCGATTCCGATCCAGTATCCATATTTATCGATGCTGGACAAAGAGCTCGTCCAATCACCTCCCCACAGCCACGTCATTTCTAATGCGACTCTGTACCAAGAAGCGCTCTGTTTCAGTGCCACTCGGACACGTTGCTAATGTTCAATGGCCTCATCGATCTCGGTGACGTCACATGGCCTCATTATGACGTCACGGCCCGTCCCGAGTGACCTCGACTCGACTCGGCGCTGGCGCTGCATCCATAAAGTCGATTATCGGTACCTATGCGCGTGACGAGGACATCGAATGATCCTCGTCAGTCCATCAGCGTGATAGTGCTACATTTAGCGCCGCACCAGCGCACCACAATCGCCGACAAGGTACTCTCGGCTGTCGACTCGAGTAACACTGACTCAGCCGGTTGCTGAGTTCATTTGGAGACGCGACGGTCGGTCTCACAGGAAGCCGACCAGACTCCATCCCGACTCCAGCACGGCTTTGGGCCGGCTGTATCTGTAAACAGCTTAGTCATGCGCGCTGTCACCATTCTGGCGCGGTCGTTCTGATAGTGGCGCAGTGGCAGCGATTTGTAACGATCCAGACGGATCAGGTCGAACTTCGAACTCCCGTCGTCCGGCTGGTACGTGGTTTTGAATACGGATGTGATCGCAGTCGAGAGAGGAGGCTCATTGTGACGCATCAGTAACCAGAAACGAGAAGTTACAACACTGACGGCCGATTGCCGATTATGTTCGTAGAAAGTGCGGTCGCTGCTAATGGTTTGAACAGGCCGAGACTCAGGGCGGATTCCTAGGTGCCTGGCCGGCTCGCGGGTATGAATCACTGTGTCAGAGATCATGCATCGGAGGCGACTGTTGGGATTCACAATCACACCCAGGTCACATGGAGATGTTATGATTCATTTTGCAACCCTGTTGTCAGTTCTTCAAGGCGTTTCCCTAGCTCTTCCGCCCGCTCGTCACGCCCCTTTCCGTCACCCAACCCATTCATCCCTCCCATCCCTCCACCCACTCCCTTCCCCATCCTCTCTACTCTTCCTCCTGCTCCCACCCTCTCCAGTCGGCACATGGTCCCCTCAAGGAGGAGTCGAGCGGCATTCCTGCGGCGCGAGCTCCACCCCAGCTGCGACGCTCAGTCGCCGTGATGGGGAGAAAAACAGGACATCGCGAGACACGTCGCAGCGCTCAGACAACGCACCGGCCGGTGTCGCGGCGCGCGTGATCGCATTGTTTTTGGGCGCCTGTGAGCGGTCGCCCACGCTAGGAGGTGCTCTTCTGGATGGAGAGGCGCCCATACTGGAGAGGCACCGGGCCAAACCCTGTCATGCCCTGCGACACATCGTTAATTTGGCCGATTGGAATCTGAGATCTGTCACAGTCGTGATTGCCGCGTTCTTGCAGGCGGCGCTCGGGCTGGTTAAGTCACCGACCTGCTTATTAGCTCAGAGAAGGTATTCTCGACTGCGCGCTGGTCGTTCGCGCTGCTGGGAAATACGCCAATGAGAGCGGGGCGAGGGCGCACCCGTCTCACCCGGTGAAAACAGCGGGGCGTCGGCTGCTGGCTGCACCTGTATTGGGCGATTGCATGTTGATTTGTTCGTTCGCCCCTGCATCTCGCTCCCCTCCGCCAATCGGTCCGCGGCGGCTCGGCGGCGGCCCGGGGCGGCTGTTTGCGCCGAATCGGCCGCCTCTGCGGCTAATCCGGCGCGGCTGGCTGGTAATGCGCCACGGGCGGCGACTGCCGAACAGCTGCCGGCCCGTCTGGGTGCTCATCGCGCGCCGTTCTGCAACGAGCCGCTCCGTAAATAGGCCGGCGGTTGCACGGGCGGCGGCGACGCGGGCTGAGGGCAGGGCAGGTGGCGGCGCAGCGCTGTCACCACCAGCTGTTAGCGAGCTAACGACGCCGTGGGCTTCCCAAATCGTCAGTGCCATGCAGATGAGCAGCGACAGAGATTCATGCTGGCGGCGGCTGGACCGTGACGCCGCCAGTTGCAGGCTGTGTGGTTAGGGCTGAGCTCGGGCCCCGGGTTGATCGGTATGGTAGCAGTGTAGTCTGGCGCTCGGACGCCCGTTGGTCAATATTCAGACACAGGCACTTGAGTCCACTCAGCGCTGAGTTGAGTGACCGGCACAAAACCAACAATGTAGGTTGATTTAGTTGATTCGAGCCGGCCCGGCCCCGCATCGAAAACGAGAGAACACCTGCGCTGTATCGCTAATGTGGCTGATTTTCCTGGCCGCTGCCTGGGCTGTGATTTGCATGAGACCAGGCCAGTAGTAGCTTGTAGCCTTGTCAGACAAGAATTATGACTGACTCATCGGATATCACAATTTTGGTGGCAATCCGAGTGAGCATGCATTGTGCAATGTGCAGTCTTGGTATAAATTTGCAATGCACCGCCGCGAAGACGGCTAATTCCAGTAATAACGGTGTTTGGATCGCAGTTCCGCGGCTGAAGTATCATTTAGCGGCATCGTTTCTTCGGAATGTGCCCTGCACTCTCACCCGAACCGTGTAAAGTGCTGCGAACCGTCTCACCGATCCGATAATCCTGTTATGGGGTGTCTGATGAAAATCGGCCACATCACTTGAAGTGACGACTCGGGGTAAAGCGCTCCTCCTCTCATGTCCATACTGCAATCGGCCGCGACTTGAACCTCGAGCCAGGCCTGCATGGATCTCCGTCAGCGGGGCTGGACTGTGCCGCTTCACTGTGAACTGAAATCCCAGTTAGACGGGTGCAATTTACATCAGCGAGTCCAGCCATGCGCCAAACGGGGCACCGGTGCAGTGAACCGCACCGGGCAACCGCTTCGCTCCCCTCAAATGGGTGGCTTTTCACCCATCTGCCGAAGGCCGAACGATGCCACTTACATCCGCGACGGTAACTCGGGCTTTCCCGTCTTGCGAGAAGCTAGGTGGAGGCCCGAGGGTTGTCTGCGGGTGATTGTCGGAGTTCCCTGGGAGTGGTTTGATGTATGTATATATGTGCAATGGCGTTGTATTGCTAATTATTCACTAGTATTTTCTCAACTCGTTAAGCGATACATGCTTCAACAGACTGAACTGGTCACGGGAAAACTGTCCGTAAACGTGATGCAATGACGGAATGTTGGCATGGTAAGATAGGAGTTTGGAGGTGAAAAAATCGTGGTCTTTAAACGTAGGAACACATTGTTACATTGCCATGTCCACTTGGCAGCTCTTCGCCAAAGAAGCTGCCAAATAGCTCCGACAAACGATCATGGCAATCATTAATCATGCAGCCTTTATTTGTTTAAGCCCCCGAGAGATACCATTAACCGTCGATAGCCGAGTTTCTCTAACCGAACTATCTACCCCATGTGCAGCCTAATACGATAGCCCACCGTTCTTGGAACGGTCTAATGAGACTGAGTTCATCCCCCTTGAACCATAAACGCTCATTGTTTCGGTTCCCGGCACATCTTTTATGGTCTCAGACGCCAGCCGTTGCACGTGCAAAAGTATCTATGTAATCGCCTGGTAAGGTTGTGCGCGACCAGGTGATGATTGATTTATCGGTCCTACATGACAGAGAGACCGCTCTCTAATTATGGACTCATGATGGGGTCAGTTGAGCCCTCGCTAATATAGGCGCGGCACTGTAATCGGTCCTCTCTGGTAGGTATCAGTGGTGAACTGTTCGCTCTAAATATGGGCAGCAGATAGGTCGACGGTGAGGCGTTGATTTAATACCATTGTTCAAGGGTATCAGTGGGGCATATCAATCAGTGTTGTCAAACGACCTGAGTGGTTGTGAGCTTCGTGGGGGACCGTTTCATTGCCGTATGTGAGAGCTATCTCATCCATCCTCTTATCGCCTGGCGAGAACTAACGCCATAAGTGTATTTACTTGCCAAGTTTTATCCATAGATAAGCCATAAATTTAATATACGGGTGATCAGAGGGGCACTTATCCTGCAGAGTAGAAAGCTGCAGATCCTGGAAACGGCCGCGAACTCGGCGAAAACCGGCTCCGGCCTTTGTCATGAACTCATTCATGGCAGACAAAGGCATCTCCAACTTGGGACCATCGCACTGCTTATCGACTAAGCCATATCCTGCTCTCAGAATTTCGCAGCAACGTCCGTCTATTGCACGGTATGTTCGGCTTGATTTCTAATAATAAAGCAGCAACATATCCCTTTTCTACGACTTTGCGTGTTTGGTCATTTCAATTATGTAACCACAAGGGCTTGGCAGTTTGCAATCACATTATCCAACAGTCGGACAGCTGTACAAATATATCAGACATGGACTCATCACTCTTGCCCGTTTGAGCTCCCTCTCTTCTGGTCCTCGCCCTTCGTCGTTCCCACTTCCTTTCTCGTTCCGCCCCACGCTCGCGGGTCGCGCACTGTGGTGCACCTCAGCGGCGACACGGCGGGGTTATCGGTCTCACCTCCGGCCGACATCGGTCCCGCAGCTGCAGACCTCGCTACCACGCACCGAGGCGCCCGATACCATCCCGGGAAACAGCGGAACGCCGCGCCGACCCAACTGTCGGCCCAAGTGTCACGCGCCGTGGCGTTCTCGGTAGCAGCAGCGCCCTCCCAAATTGCGCCGTTTGGCATCAGTTTGGCGTGCACAGTCGGCAAGCTGTAGGAGTGACGAGGCTTACATCACAATAGCTTGTGATTCATCGCTCGGAAGGGATCGCCGACTACATATGTGCAATGATTGATCGTTTGAGGTGATGAATCATCGCGTAACATAGCTTATTGGTTTGTGGATATTGTTTTTGCTTAGCGCCTCGATCACGTTCTGAAAACCGCGAATGGTTCGGTGTCGGCCATAAACCTGTTTTAAGAATAGTCTCACCAAATAGGCAGGTACGCCGCGGGTCTACCCTTACCGTGCATTCCTCCCTATGCACACCCATAGTCGGGGTTCGAACGGCGCCGCCGATCGACGCCCTCTGCTCGTATTGCGTGTCGATCGGAGGCTGATAGCTTGACTCATCCGGAAGCCGGTTAGGTTTGCACCGATCGCGTGACTTTGTTGAACGCCGAACCCTTCAGAGGCGGCGGCGTACAACGGAGTCGGATCGCGCGCCGACAGAGAGTTCGGGGAAGAAAGCCGACCGGAGCGGCAGATCGTTGACTGCTGCTCACCGCTCGTTTCGGTGATGGATATCTATCGCATCATCGGTGAAAGACCGACACGGGTGAGGGCAGTCAGCTGCACACGCCACAGACTAGCGCGGCGTGCTGTTGGGGAATTTCAAACTGCCCTCTGGCGTGCGGATGAATATCTTCGCTGTTAACGCTCAAGGGCGACCAAGATCAAGCACGCTTTTGTGTGCAGACCTATCAGCCGGTGGTGTTGTCCGATTAGTTTGTGGGCCACCATCTATGGGTCGTTGGGTGTATCAGCAGTCATTTATGCCGCCCGGCGCCGGCACTGGGGCGCGCCTGACGCCGCTCTCGATTCTCCACCGGCGATCATTACAGGGTATCGTGATCGCCGACTCTGAACAAGTACCAATCAGGCGGCTGCCGTTTTTAATCTGGTCCGCCAACAGGCTGTGCATCATGCCCCACCGCCGGCCGCATCGTAAGCGGCGCGCCGGCAGCCGTGCCCTGATGGGGCGCGGCGGCTGTCCGCTCGGCTCCTCCGGCCATACCTCACCTCCGTCGCATGCAGATGAAGCGCCGCCAGCGGACGAGCGAGATAATTCAACGGCAGAAAAACCGGCCTGACGCCTGGCCGCCGCTGTGCTCGGAATGGCTAACGCCGCAGATGGCGGATCGGCCCGGGCGGAGCCGGCCCGACGAGCATTGGCCTGATTAGCTGATGGGTTAATTATACGGCCATCCATTACCGAGGTCTGCAGCGGTGCCGGCGGGGCCTGCACAGTTTGGCGAGAGGACCGGGACGCGCGCCCCGCCGTCTTACCTTTCTGGCCGGCCGGGCTGACCCGCTGGATGGGCTGCGCGCTCGGCGTGCTGCCATTGGTCGCCGCGCGCTCGGCCCCGCCCCCCGCCGGCGCGGCCTTGACCCGGTCGCGGTCGGCGGCGCCGACGGTCAGGTTGAGCGGCTCGTCGTCGGCCGTGTCGGCGGCGGCGGCGAACAGGCTGGTGCCGGCCGCCTGCAGGCTGAGCAGATGCTGCACAAACAGTGGCGAGTAGCCCGGGAAGGAGGCCAGGCCGGGCCACAGGGGCGCGCCTCCGGCTGCCGCCGCCGCCGCCGCCGGGGTCACGCACAGGCGAGACAGCGGGGCGCCAACGCCGCCCACTGACGCCGTCTTCGCCGGCTTGGTCATCTGCGGAGAGAGACAGGTGTCAGATAGTGCCGAGACTAATCCAAAACGTGTCGTCTCATGGTTTACACTTCTCGGGACAATCCAGGATGCTTGGGTGTTGTCATCTTTATGTTCGTTTCGTGCCTTACCTGCATCCTAACTCCTAAGCCGCCTTTCGTATTGGATTCTTTCGCCCATTGTCCCAAATCTTCATCCAATAACCGCAACATCCTGTTTAATCAGGTCCTGATCAATTTTCACCTGTAATCCGGTATCTGCACGCGGTGCCTCTCGGCCCATGAACCCCGTTTGATTCTTCCCTCCCGGAGAAAGCGGCATTCGTGCAGCGTGCGGCGCCAACCACCTCGGCGGTTAAATCGTGCACCAATTCCCGTGTGCTGGCGGCTGTGCGGCCCGCGGAATCCGCCCGAGTCTGTTCCGCTGCGCTAATACCCGCGATCGGCTATCTGGGGATAACGACCTCTGGCCCCGTTTGGTAACCACACGCCGCGTTGTGCGACATGCCATGTAGCGGCGTGCGAGCGACGTGCGAGCGACTTGAGAGTGGCGTCGTGTCGGGCCGTGCGGCGCGTTCGGCCGGCGTATCAGAGTTGACAGCGGGGCGGCTCGTACGGTCTTTGTGTGTGGTATATGACGCGGGGACATCCAGGCGTGGGGTGGCGTTACGCATGGCGCCGCGTGGTGCCACAGGGCGTCGCGTGCCAGTGGCATCGCGTGTCTCCCTTCATGCACTGAAGGGGTGAGCCCCATTTCACCGCACGGCGGCCGCCGCCCGGTGCCATCAGCCCGGCGTGTAGCGCCGCCGCTAACCGGCTCAGCTGCACGTTGAACCCTGTGGTTTTTGTCGGCCGGCACACGACATCGTCTGCCGGCCATTGTTGGCCCACACTGGGCCGATGAACTGCTCAGATCGGCCGCTCAGCCAGCCTTGCAGGCGATAAGTCACGAGCTGGCCATCCGCCCCGAATGGCAGCTCTCTGCCAGAGGCGGGCTCAGGCGGCAGAGCACAGGGAGGTGCCGAAATTGGGCGGGTCGCGCCTCCCTTGTAAGGGAGAAGCCGGAACGCATGCTCTGATTGCGTGACATGCTGGGTGAATGAATCAGCCCTTTTAGGGAACTTCCTCGCTCGGTAACTTCTTTTGTGGACTGTAGCCGTTTGACACGGTTCTGTGGTCGACAAGCCAGCTGACATCAGTTCCAGACCGCTGGCGGATTCACCACTCGGAGACGGTGACCTATTCCAGCATGCAGAACCATGCAACCGGTTTAGCGTCGGGCTAATCAATACCGTGTTTGCATCGCGACCAGGCCAGTCCTTTGTTCGCGAGCTGTGGTTGCGGAGAGGCCGGCCCCTAATTAGTGTGTAATTATATAAACCAAAGTGGTTCCCATACGGCCAGGAAATTCGGCGGTTGGGCTGTAGAAGGTATGCCGTAACGAGATTATCTGTCATTGAGAGAATTCATCACCGCTTTCGTCGTCCTGCTGCTTCAGCAAGGTTAAGCGTTGTTCGTCGTCTTCATGTTAGCTGTCGCTGGATGCATCATCATGAATAAACAGATTAAGCAACACACGGCTGCCAGCTCACCAGTCATCCCAGACTGCCGATCCGAACACAACAGAGGCATTCTCGGTCACACTGCAGGCCTATTGATGACGTCACTGTGACGTCACGGCCGCCGTCGGGTGCGGCAGCTCAGCTCCCACGGGACGATAATCGGCCAGCGGGCCAGCCGGCTGCTTCTCTTTGTTAACAAAGCTCCGGTAATAAGCGGCGGGCACTTTCGAAACCGCAGACCAATAGCGCCGGATAATGCCACACATCTGGCTGCCGGGAAGTGGCGGGCCCAGAGAAATTTGGCGCGGAGCCGGCGATCCTACAAGGAACTGGATGCAATAATAAAACGATCCAGCGGTGGACAAAGCGCGGCAATAAAAGCATAACAGGAGACTCGACTCGTCAACGGGCTCGTAAAAGGCCGAATGGCGTGCCATTAAAGCTGCATTATGAAAGCCAGCGCTGTTCTCGAATGTTCTCGCTCGGTGCTTATACCACAGCGCTGTGCTGACTGCCACTCGCTGGAGAATGCGACCGAGGCAGCGGATGTTGGATTTAGCGGCTTTCTGCGGAAATGGAATTCGGAATGTGTCGTGAGCATTGACAGCTAAAACGTCTTGTGTCAATAAACTCGTTCATTAATGCTTCTAAGGGTTGCACAATAAAAGTCGACCGCTCAACTGACCTTTCACCATTTCTAAGATTGGAACAGAATCTTGAGTCCTGGGATGCTGAAAAATATGCATTGCCTACATTGGAAGGTAATATCCGCGAATATAATTATATTCATGCTGACAAGTGGGTCGGGGTCCTGTTACGGCAACCCAACAGCCCCTATCGTTTCCCACAAAGCATCGCCAGCTGTCAGTCTGTTTGGTATATTTTCCCTCGCACGCCCTCACTTCCCCATCCTAACATGTGCCGGGGATGTGCGAGTTTGAATCACAGATGTCAGCCAGTGTGTTATCATTGCGCAACAGGAGGAGCGCGCTCCGAGCTCCGAGCTGACGTGGGCGCCCGCCACTGATGAGGTGAACCGTCATCCTACCTACACGCACCTTGTGTTCGGACCGCGGAACCGGACTAATTTGCCTGTCGTTAGCGGTTTGCCCCGGATCGTTACACGTGAACGTCGCCCATTAGTTGGCGCTAACGACACCACTGTCCTCGTTTTAGTCGTCCCTCCCTCTCTCCTTCTCCCATCTCTGCCTACATCTCACAGTGTCTTTGATTTATATTCGTTCTCTTTGTCAACATCTGTCTCGCCCTCCCTCTGTCCTGTCTCTGTCACCGCCTTTGTCCCTTTCCTCCTTCTCTCTCTCTCTCTCTCTCTCTCTCTCTCTCTCTCTCTCTCTCTCTCTCTCTCTCTCTCTCTCTCTCTCTCTTTCTCTCTCTCTCTCTCTCTCTCTCTCTCTCTCTCTCCCTCTCTCTCTCTCTCCCTCTTTCTCTATCCGTGGTCACAATTCGACCATCGGTCACAGCCCATTAGCTGCCCATAAGGCGGCACAACCAAGTCATCCTTGATCCCCCTTAGTGAACGGTCTCGTGATAAGTTCCCGTTCACTCAGGCGTAATAATGGCCCAGTCACGTGACCTGGGGCTCCGTCGTCCGGCCAGGATAATTGCATCAGTTGATTTTCTCCTCATGAAGATCGAACGAGGCTGAACGAATTATTTAATTATTGGTGCGACGCAATTTTCACGTTCCTCATTATTTGTATTCGTGTATCATTATCTGACCCTCTACCTACAATATTTTCTCATGCAACAAATGTCTATACTTTACACCTCTGGCCCAATGTTTCCCAATTCTCCCATCAGCAGTTAACACCCCGTGAAGTGATTCTATTTATAAGTTGTTAAACGACGTGGCTGTGCCATGTCGGCGCTCGGCAGAGCCATCAGCGTGCTCCGTGACTGGCGCTTAGCGTCACAGAGCGAGCTTTCGCCGCCAGCTTCATCGTTACTTTCAAATGATAATTGGCGCCGCCGCGATCCCATCAAGGAATTCTAAAGCGTTAAGTTCATTGACCACGGTGCCGGCTGATCTTGCATGCAATGACGTCGGACTGGGAGTTGAGACCGCGAGGCTGGCGGTATAATTCGCTCAGCCAGGGCGGTGTTGGCAGGCCATTTTTTCCGAGCTTAGTGAAGGAAGTTTTCGCTGAACCACGAGTTGTTAGCACACCGTTATTATACGAAATGCCTTTACTCGGTGGCATAATGCCTTGTGCCACGAGGTGAAATATTTTAAGTGAGCTCAAGAATTCGGGGAATGTTGGTCCGACTGCGTACCTACTGCGGTTCGCAGACCAGTTTAGCTCGATCGGCCTACAGAGGCTGGCCACACGTTTCCTGTACCGTGACTCAGTTGTGATTCCCGCGTCAGCTAATATGGGCCGTTATTACGAATTACGACGCTACGTTCTGGGAGTCTTTTATAGAGTGGTGACTGGCTCATGACATCTCTGGAAATCTCAGCGGCGATGGCGAAAGTAGGCCGCTTACTGATCCAAATCCTAATCTGTCAGTGGAGTCGGTGCCTTCAAATTACGTCGTTCCCCGTTTATTATCGTGTCTAGTGGAGGTTCGATGGCGATCATTTCCGTAATAGCTCGGATTGCCAAATGTATTGCGCTTTACGCTTGATGCAAGCTTCTGAAGTATCCGTGTAGCCTCTGTTATGAATCAGTGGAAGACAGTATGCAATATGCATGTGGCGTATGTGGATGTGTCTTTGTTCAAGAACACCTTCTCACCTGACCCAAAACAGAACTGGTTTGACTTCCCTTTTCGGTCCAGCAGAGAGTACAGCTTGTTTTTAGTTGTGATCACTATCAGTTGGCTGTGATTGAGTTGTAACAAGCTGCTGTTTACTTTAGTGGTGCATTTCCTTTTACAGTCGTATCTGTGTGCGTCATTTGGCATGCCGGTTTGGAGACATCTGCACTCTCAGCTGGTAGGGCAGAGAAACCTAAATCGCTCTGTATTTGCATGGTGCATCGCCGTTCAAGTTGCATCCGATTGACCTGATGCTAAATCATGTTATGGAAGCCTTTAGGCAAATAAACAAAATTAAATGCGGCTTGAATTTCAGGACGTTGGCAGAGGCCATGTGCGGGTAGAGGACATGCAGTGATCCCGCGCTTCCCAACTACAGTGCTAACCAGTTCGCTTTGCGCGGTTGCGTGCCTCGTGCTTCGGAAACCAGCCAGCTTACACATGTCCTAAAAAATACAAAATACCGTCCAAAACAGCGCTAATTGTACAATACGTAACCACACACTTTGGATACCTACGTTGGTATTTTGCAGTTTGCACCCTTCCAATGTCCTCTCGTACCGGACGCGCTCCAAAACATGTTCAGATATCTCTGAGGGAAGTTCCGACTCGTTATGGAGCAGTTACTGGTTATCCGTGCTCAGAGAATGGTGAAAACCGTCTCTGGAGTATCTAATTGCGTGGAATGTCTAGGCCAGCCTGTTTGCTGGCTGCAATAGCGCCATGCTTACAGCGATGATGGCACATAAATGACGAGCCTGACGAGCTCGCATATATCACAGTGCAGCTGGCCCGACCAGAGAAATTTGCGGTTCGTCCGCCAGCGAAGATTTAGAACGCTGCAGCTGCTCATAAAAATACAATAAAACGTCTTCTGTCCAATTAGTTAGCTTCGATATTCATGGGTCCTTGAGAGTTATTGCCGAGGGTAATTTGGTCGAGAAACCGGATATTTTAATCCACATCATCATCGTATGAATAGTTACAACTAAAGAATAGTCTGGGATGCGATGGGATGCTCTGAGAATTCGACGTTAGGGTAGATGGAAACAGTTCTTTTTTTACGCGGAAACGCCTTGGGTAGATATTTAATGGTAACTCGCTATATCTTATAATAAGTGTTCCTGAAAGACATTACCTACCTAGCGCCTAACTACACAGGACGCTCCCGCAGTAGGTACCTAAGTGTATCCCGCTGAGTGATGACGGTGTTTTGCACGTGTACTGAATGCACAACTGTTTCAACCATTTGCAACTGGACACAAATGGTTGGAAGATAAATGATTATACTACACGTTGCTTTAGATGTCAACCAAATAAATCATCAAGCAACCCAGTTAGTCAATAGTCATACACTTCGAGTGATTGAAAATCAACAAAGGCGCTCAATGCTCACATATAGACACGCTCGTTCAGTATACAACTAATGAAATTGATTACCGTTTCTAAGAGTCACATAAAGCCGGCGCCATATGAAGGAAACGCTGATCATTTTCACAAGAACGTTAATTAAGTTAATTATCATTAATTGATAATTGCTCACAGTTCATTATTACTTAATTAACTGCATGCATTGACGACCTCACCTTTCCTCTGCCGTAAGAGTCGCTGATAGTCCTCCCTTCGTCCTCCAGTCGTCCTGTCGTTCCTCCGATCCTCGAGTCCTCGGTCCTCTGGCACGTCTCTAGCCGCCACCGCCCGCCGCGCCAGCCCGTCACCGAATGACGCGTTTATCAAATCTCGTTCACCGCCCCGCTGCCGGCTACCGTTCAAGCACGTGTGCCCCCCCGCGCCGGGCCGGCCGGCCGGCCGCCCGCCGATCCGCAGAGCGCCGGTGCTCTTACAATCGGATCTGGCGGCCAAACATCCGGCGCCCGCTCTTGGTCTGTCGCAGATGGAGCAGCCAGTGAGTGGTCACTGCAGCTGAGACGCTGCTTACGTAACGCCGAACCCACGGTGGCCGGTGGCTGACGGTTTCGCCCATGTGTAAATGTGACAGCTGCTTGCATGCAACGTCTTGGTCTGTTTGGGGAGTTTATGGGGTGCTTTCTCTTGCTGGAAATTAGGTTGTGAGTTCGATGCCGCAGATTTGTGAGTGTTGACCATCATTGTTTTCTGTGTAGTGACGTTCTAAGCAGATTGCTTTTGGGAGCAACTTTCATAAACCTTTTGCAAGTGTCCTGTGTGCAATAAGCTAATCGGATCACAGGCGCAAGAATGTTGTCGTTGACCCTGTGGTCATGTCCGGCCCGTAGTTGTGTTGGTAAATACATTTTCGACTGATGTAATTAGGTACTGATGGTTTTAGCAAAACATTTCTTTTAATATCAACAACTGATTTGAGCGATGTACAAATAGGTACCTAAAGCACCTGCACGCATTTCAGTCATGCTAGAATATCTTTGAAATAATTCAGGCCGCTTAGATTGGCGTGAATGACATCGTGAATGAGATAATTATACATGCTGGTTTTTACTTGGCCTGGATGTTTTCAAACTTATTGGCACCCCCTCCTGAAATAATAATAATTATTTATGTACTGGACCGATCGTTTTCGCACATATCTTTACTCACTTTTTGCTTCTTCTCCATTGCTCTCTGTAGTTTTTATCCATATTTTAAACTATGTACTAGAGGGACAGCATTACGCGCAGCGTAATAAATCAATTTTCATTAAAATCGGCCCAGTAACGGCCGAGTTATTGCCAGAATAAATTTGGCGTCTCCTCCTGGCCGGCGGTGCTCTGTTCCGGTATTCATTGCCAAAGGTCAGTGACCTTCCGGCTCTGATTTCGCTCAGTTTGGCAAGCGAAGAAACTGAGGCTAATGCGCGTGCTCTCTGATCGGCGCCGGCCGCGGCCCAAAATCCCGCAAAGATGCGCCCGCCACGTGCAAACCACCGAACCCACCCCCACCAAAATTTAATACGACAAACAGATGCACGCGTCTGACTTATGTCCAAAATTTCACCCCCGTAGCCCGCACCGTTCCGGAGCAATAGCCCGCCAAGCGTGACTGACGCGTTACATACATACATACATACGTACAGACGTTTTGATTTTTATATATGTAAATTTCATTAAAATCGGTCCAGTAGCGGCCGAGTTATGGCCAGAATAAATTTGGCGTCTCCTCCTGGCCGGCGGTGCCCTGTTCCGGTATTCATTGCCAAAGGTCAGTGACCTTCCGGCTCTGATTTTGCTCAGTTTTCGCAGCGAACAATCTGAGCCTACGGCGCGTGCTCTCTGATCGGCGCCGGCCGCGGCCCAAAATGCCGCAGAGATGCGCCCGCCACGTGCAAACCGCCGAGCGCACCCCCACCAAAATTTAATACGACAAACAGATGCACGCGTCCGACTTAAGTCCAAAATTTCACCGCCGTAGCCCGCACCGTTCCGGAGCAATAGCCCGCCAAGCGTGACTGACGCGTTACATACATACATACATACATACGGACGTTTTGATTTTTATATAAGTGACTAGGTGCCGAGCATTACGTGCACCGTAATAAATCAAGTTTCAATAAAATCGGTCCAGTAGCGGCCGAGTTATGGCCAGAATAAATTTGGCGTCTCCTCCTGGCCGGCGGTGCTCTGTTCCGGTATTCATTGCCAAAGGTCAACGACCTCCGACTCTGTTTTCCCTCATTTTCGCAGCGAACAATTTGAGCCTAGGGCGCGTGCCGTCTGCTCGGCGCCGGCCGCGGCCCAAAATGCTGCAAAGATGCGCCCGCCACGTGCACACCGCTGCACGCACCCCCACCAAAATTTAATACGACAAACAGATGCACGCGTCCGACTTAAGTCCAAAATTTCACCCCCGTAGCCCGCACCGTTCCGGAGCAATAGCCCGCCAAGCGTGACTGACGCGTTACATACATACATACATACATACATACATACATACGTACAGACATTTTGATTTTTATATATGTGAATAATTGCCTAATGATACCTTACTCCCCACGGGGAACGTTCTTCAACCATAATTCAAATTTCCAGTGACGGACGAGTGCTGCTGTTGGAACACTATCGGTCGTCTAGCGTTCTCGGGTCGCATCGCTGCCATGGATGCTGACTCAGGCCGAGCTCAGGCCGAAAGACGGCTGCCCCGCATGTATGGGCATTGGGCTCCATCAGCTGGTATCATCTTACTTTACCCGGACATAGAGTCCATGCCAGGAATGAGTCTGATATTGGATGAGTGACAACCTTCTTTCCTTCCTTTAATCGTTATCTTATATTTTCGCTTTATATGAAAGAAAATATCCCAGAAGGTCATAGCTACATATGTAAATATGCTTGTGGAAGGCCGTGTACCACCTACTCCTCCATTGCATTCGACTTGTAGGTACAATTTTCATAAGGCAGTGCTCCTTTTATTCTACGTGCTACATTCCCATTGACGGTGCATTCAAAGTCATTGAAGGCGCTACAGCAGCCCTTTATCCACAACAAGGTGCAAAGCTCCGCACTCTTACCTCTCCAGACAAACCCAGCTCCCCAGCGCGGGCAGTATTTTTACCATTCGTGCCCCAGACCCGGCCGACCGTAACCTGAAAGAACGCTCCCCCGTTTGTCCGGGTGCTGCGGTACAGTATAACTTCAGGCGTTTTGCCTGCTGCCATCTAGCGGCAGCAATATAAGTTCACACGCCGCCGGCTGTTGCGTGCTGTTTGCCCGATGTCAGAATATGCTGAAATACGGAACGACATCTGAATGGCGATTCCAATGCAGTTGAATACGCCATTTTGGTAAGAAATGTTTCTCTATTATGTATGGCAATGTGCGACTCGATTTACGGCCTATGTAGGTAGGTACATACTTACCTAATTATAAACAGACGACAGGCAAGTGGCTGCCGAAAATCATTGCTCCAGTTATACCTAATTGAAAGGTATACGAAAATCGTCCCACTGGGTTCTGTTGACAACTCCTGTCTCCTATCAATTCTGCAACACGAAATGGCGCTACACGAACGTCGAACATGATGATGATGATGGTGACTACATAGTACATAGAAATAAAAATTATTTATTTCAAATGCATCGCACTCGCCACCCATGAATGACCCTGAGTAGCCAGATTGTTTTACACCCAGAGGTGGTTCAGTAGTGTAAACCTAAACATATAGTGCCGGTGGGAGAACACAGCAGCCGGAAGCGCCAGGTTATCTTTCTGCCGCTAGATGGCAGCAGGCGAAACGCCTGAAGGTATACTGTCCCGCATAGCCTGAGCCAACGGGGCGCGCTCTCTCGCAATGCGCTTGGGGTTGGCAGAGGAGGGCAAAGTACGGAACGATGCTGTTTAGGGAGGATTGTGAATTAAAGCGCATTCATGAGGTTTTATTTTTGCCAGCAAATGGGACGAGAAACCAAACACAATTTTAGCGGTAAGTGCCCAAAGCTCCTTTCCACGATAAGCCTACAGGGTGTTTCACTAAAAGTGTCAAAAAGTAAATGCCTATTAAAGTTATATAAAATATGCAAATCACGTGGTTGCGCACGTGGCTTGGTTGCAAATTTTTGGACATTTATGCTTTGTCCATTTAAGATATATTTTACACTCATACGGAGCGAGGGCAGGAGGCCAAAGTTACTAGTCGTTTTTTTTCCTTATGCAGATCAAGAACAGGTTATTTACACCGCAACAGGAGGGGTAAATTACACTTACATTTGGTGCCATCAGAAACATTGAAACCGTATGCCGACTTTTCAGGAAACGTTTTATTCTCTCACCTCGCTACGTTCCAGATTATAAAAGGTTCAAAGGGCTTCTTGAGAGGTTTAAAAGGGTTCCTTCGATGCCGGTCGCAGTCCAAAAAAGACGGGGTCCCCCACCTCTCGGCGGAAACCGTTGAAAGGGTCAGGGTCTTTTTGAGGGTCTTTGAAGATAACAAGAAGCTAATTTCAACATCAGAAATAGCCAAGGCCTTACAAGTTATCAAAAACAGCCACTATAATGGCTGTAACCACCAGGAACTGGCTGGATTAGAAGTTCCTGCACCGAAAAATCAGCTGCCTCGCCGCCCGCCTCTGGCCAGCGCAAAGCCCCGATCTGTCACCGTTTTACTTCTGGTTTTGGTCAGTAGCTCTCGCAGAGCTGAGGAAGACTCAAGTCGCATCACTTCGGGAGCTGAAGAGCACCATTCAAGGCTTTGCCGACAGTCTGGACGCTGAAGATGAAAACGGGCTGTGAGGCACCTCCGGACACGTGCCGAAACGGTGCATCAAAAGAAGGGGCGGATATGTGGAATAGGTTTGAGTGACGGTGCTATCGTTTTTATATATTCAAATGTCCAACAATTGCGGATGAAATAGTATGCAAATTTCCGTAGAAAACATTGTTATTATGTGCATTATGACCTTTTACTTTTTGACACTTTTAGTGAAACACCCTGGACCGGATGTTTGGAACGCTTGCCGTCCGTCTTGACTATGAATCTAACCATGAATCTAACCGTCGACGGGCGAATCCGAATGTGTGAGAATCTGATTTGTCTATTGGTAGCGAATTTCCGTGAAAATCGCAGATAATCAATGCCCTTCAGCAGCAACATTACAATTCATAAAAAAGCAACGTAAGGAAACATAAAGATACACCATCAATGAACCTCGGTGTAGCAAAATATGTATTTTTTTATGGCGTGATTTTTTACACAGGCATTCGAGTCACAAAGCTTACGCCCCAGCGCAGCGGTGCTTAGTTGTTCACAAGACGACACTGATGGACGGTGATAGCAGTAATGCATATCATTAGCTGCACACTTGATTATTTGTATCAGACAAATTAATTCGTGTATGATACAAGATAAAAACACCTGAAAACCACCAAACGTTTCGTGTTATTCACTTTTTCAAGGGGTAATATCACCCTTGAAAAAGTGAATACCACGAAACGTCGGGTGGTTTTGGTGTATTTATCTTACATCATATAGCTACACACTTGTTATACACGTGATTTTCCCGACGCGACATACTAATTACCTAACTACCATGAGCCATATGCAGGCTGCAGCAACTCTTGTCTCAATGACCTGGGCACAGGGAGAATCAGCAGCACAGAAATTCGATAAAATCTTTCGGAAATGCTGCCATGGATTCTCTTTGAGCCTGCAGCTGTGAGTATTTCTGGTACCTATATACGATGTAGAAATTTATAGTGCAGAAGGGCGTTAGGCCATTCGTTGTTATGCAGTTTGATGACTAAGTACACTGATTCAAGCGTTTCATAGCGATACGATTACAATATCCAGAGATAATTCCCTATGGAGAAGCCGCATAGAAGTTAAACATCCACACAATGCTTCATCAATGCTCAGCCATAAACGCGAAGTTCAAACGCGTCATATTCTCCGGCACTTTCAGCCTGGGGCAGCAACAAGCTCTTTGCGCGCTCATGCCTCTGCTCACAATTCTTAAACTCTCATGCTGCACTCACACAGTTTAACGCTTGCATCTCACGATTCACATCACTTTATCGTCATCCTCTCGCATCTTCCTCATTGATTCCACTTATCCTACATCTATTCTTATCCTCGCGGTGCTGAAAGCCAGGCATTCGGATCACTTATACGACCCTAGCAGAGAACCATCACCAGCCATCAATTATTCCAACTCATGATTCCTCACCACTTTTATGGATTTCTCGTTAAACCGTTACATCACTTTCTTTATTCCATCCACCGTCACACGGCGTCTTCTTTCTCTCCATCCATCGCGCACAGTCTCCTCAGACATCCTGCGGTGGAAAATAGCCTTCCGGCGCGGCCGCATTGAACACCACCATCACAAGCACGAGCAGCAGATAGGTGACGAGCGACACCCACCAGAGCACACGCTCCCAGCGCAGCAGGCGCAGGTTACGCAGCGCCACGTGACCCATGAGCAGACCGGCCAGCGCTCCCGCCAGGTGGGCCGTATATGCCACCTTATTTCCCGTCTCGGTGCCGTAGCGATTGTAAATAGCCACTCCGACGTCGGTGCCAGCCAGGAGTAGAAGAATACCAAGCCGTACGAAGGCAAACTCCATCTCTGCCCAGTTGAGGACCAGGTCGGCCAGGTGGGCAGTGAGCAGCGCGTACACCCCACCAGAGGCGCCGGCCAGGAACACGCGCGGGTCGAGTACAGACGTGGCCAGGGAGCCGGCCAGCACGCCGCAGAGGTAGACGATGCCGACGCGCCACCACTTGTGGACCAGCTCCAACGGCAGGCCCACCAGTAGTTGGACGATCAGGTTGTAGACGATGTGCACCCAGCCGACGTGGACGAGCATGTAGGTGAGGAGGCGCCACACCTCACGGCGCCGGTACGGGCTGTAGATGAGCGGCGACTCGGGATCCACGGGACCGCTGGCGGTGATACCGCCCAGCCGCACGCCGTCGTAGATGAACAGAACCAGTTGAATGGTAGAAAGGAGCGGGATTACGATAGGAGGAGGACGGCAGTCATACTGACGGAGGTACGTGGGCGGCCGCCGGCTGCGCGGCACCACACTCTTGCAGGCGGTGTTGAGGAGGCCCTTATCACCTCGACAGGTGCCCTCACTAAGCTCGGAGTCTATCCTCGCTCGACCGCCCTCCCCCATGGTAGGAGGTCTGCGGACCGAGCGGTCCAGCGGCGGAAGGCGGGGCACCGCGGCTTTGTAGACCCCGGGGAGACGTGACCGGTCGCTGGCGACTATGATCACGGAGCGAGTGATGTTGAAGGGCTGAGTGGCGACCGAGATCGGAGGTAGCGCCGACGGGCGAGGCGGCCGGGACGGCGGCGTGCGGGGTGTGCCCGAAATGGCTGGTGCTCGACGTAGGCAGTGGACGAGCCGTCAGTTTTCAGTACTCTGCTCACCTATCACCAGTCTCCCATATCACTTTTATACTCTTCACGCACTTTTCGTTGTCCGAGTGACTTCACCGTTCATTCGTTACTTCACCAGCGTCTAGCACCACTGCCTCACCTTTTATCACATTCACAAGCACCACCTTCACCAGCAGCAGTCCAGCTCCAGCACTAACACCACTGCCGTATGCCTCGAACCGGTGCCCGGGGCCGCCAGTGCGACACTGTCACGGCGCGTTACCACGGTGATGGACCACGCTGGATTCCTGACACACAGACAGACAGACATACACACACGGATCGATGGCACGGTGGTGACCGGTGAACCATGCCGACACCTGGTCCGGCCCGGCCCTGTCCGGCCCGGCGCCCACTCAGTCATTAACAAAGAATACACACTAGATGTAGTGGCGGCCCGACGCTTCCAGGAACCTCGGGTTGAGGGATGTGGAAAGGTCATGGAGCCGCGCAAAAGCGGCATTTATCGAATATTTGTGATTGGCGGTGTCAAAATGACGTAGGAAGATTTAACATTTTCGGTCAGCGTACCTAACATAATGTTATTTAGCCAGTGACAACATGATTTATATCGACAATCAATCTACCGGCATCGTATCGCTGATCGCAGCAAAACATGTCATTTTTCATTGGGTTGATACTTGATACTGTGCATTGTGCAGTTCGATACTCATTCTTTATTCCACAGAATCGTTAATGAAATTGTACTTCAGCAATCAGTATCGACCGGTGCTGTCCTAAATTGAATAAAGCCGACTGGGTTCGGAGAAACGCTTCACGGACTGGTGGTTGATATACCAGCGAAACGAAGGTCAATGGACACATTATCGCATCGGCCATGTTTTACAGCTGAGTCACATAATCCATCCTCAGATGATGTCGGAAATGCCTTTCGCCGTGCCCGTCTGCCTTCCGACGTATATCCAAAGAACTCGGTCTACCCTGAACGTAAACGGTTACGGTTGCATCGCCGGCAGCTGAGCCAACTGGGTGTGACCCAGATCAACTACCGGTTCTGACTATAGCGCCCACCGTATTGCTTACGTAGCTATGGACGAATCAAAGCGGGAATATGACAGGCATTCCACAGTCTCCTCATAGCTAATCATATGACTGTTAAATTACTTGCTTACTCATCTGACTTTAATCAGAAGTCGTGCTATGTATTCTTGCAACGAAAAATGACCAACTATGTGTCTCCCCCTCAGTCGGTCCAGGAAACTGCAACACAGCATGACCGACTATTCAGCATTCATGTTCAAGAGCGGGTCCAATAATCGATACATCGATGACATATTCCGAGTTCCAGTTCTGGGCCGTCGACACAGATTCTGAAAACGGGCGCTGCAGCTGTGGTGTATAACCGACAGATCGTTACGGGTCGGCCGCTGCTGCAATAGGTCGCGCTGTTGGCTAGCTACACGAGTGTTGGCGATGACACGAAGTGTCACACGCATGCTGAAACTTCTTCGATCTCAAGATACGAGGGCGTTGTTGACTTTCGCAGAATGCCACCGAGGTTTAAGCGTTTATACCTGATAAGTATCGTGTGTATTTTGATCCCTTGCCACCAATTAGTATATTTGCTACCCCGCTTCAGGACACTGCTTGTCACAAAAAGCTGTGGCAATACTACAAAATGCGTGCGCGACATTTCGGCCGTTTTGTTACAGGGCCTGTCTTGTTGCAAAACTGATAACATTCCCCGTAAAAACGATACGACGCCCGCCCCACCTTCTTTCCACGTCACATGCCAGAAAGCCATCGGAAACATTTTATTACGAAATATTCGGATATACTTATATATACGTATATGTATAATGTTCACACGTCAGCGACAATGGACTCACGGACGTTGTGCGCACGCGCCGGCGACCGAGCCGTCGGCGCGGGACGGCCGGTCGGCAGTCCTCAATGTACACTGTACAAACTCAACAACGAAACACCAGCGCACCGGTATCACATGTATATAGCGCCCACGGCCGGCCCGGCGAGCGGCGGGGCGGCGGCGCCGGTCCGCCCCGCCGGGGTACCGGGAGAGCGCGGGCACGCGCCGCCCCCGACACACCGCGGCGCGTAGAAAACAGAGCGGCCGGCGCCGCGTCCGTCGTCCGCGCCGGCCGGGCGACACACACAGAAGGGAAGGAAGGGAGGAGGGCGAGCGCCGGCCCGACGCGCCTGACATCTGCCGGCCGCCGGACCAACTGCAGTGTGGCGCCGTCGCCGCCAGAGGTCCACCGCACTGAACAGTAACCACACAGACACAGTTCCCAGGTAGCTCACGATCCTAGGCGCACGCACTCCCTAAACGCACACAAAAGGACGCTCATACGCGGACACATACACAGGCGCACACTGCGCGAGGGCGGTGTCCCAGCGGGCTCCACCCTGCGCGGGTCCTCCGTGGGTCGGGCCGTCCCGGTTCGGTGCAGTGCATAGCCGGCCGACCAATGGTCGTCAAAGGACCTGCCCCGCGCGGGCCATAGAACCCGGTACCACCAGGGTCATCAGTGACCTGTGACCTGCACCAGTGCCCAGGTTGGAGCACCACCACGCTGGGAGAACGTGCGGCCCGCGCAGAAAGGCTACTGGACACCCCCGAGGAACACCCACATTCCGTCCACACTCGCACATACACACACAAAAGCCCGATCCTCCGTCAACATAAATCAGAATCGATTAAAACGATTGCATGATAAATTTCCTATAAAACGCGGATAGCACAGGCAGGCGTCGCTGGACTGAAACGGCGGGGAACGGTCGGCACAGAGCTGAAATCTCAGAGGCGTGGAGTATCCGGGTTGAAACTGGGGGCGCTCGGAGAGGCGCGGCGGCGCCCCGGCAGGCTCGCGCGGTAGCCAGTGGCTGGTCCGACGCCGGGTCTACTACACAGTCGGTGCCGCGGGGCGCCGCCCGCACGCGGAAACCTACAGCCTCTCACGCACGATCACAGGCACGCGCCAGCCGGCAGCACAGCACTCCCGCACTCGCACGAGACTGGGCCGCCGCCCCACAGAATATAAACGAATCGGGACTGTGTGCAGAGACTTGAACACAAACCAAGTAGAAAAGTCAACACGCCCGAGCCGGACGGCAGCGACGCCGGTCCGGGGGGCGAAATGGCACCGTGGGGACTAGTAGAAAATGTAGGCGAAGTACGACACGACAGCACCCTCGAGTCCGTCTAACGCGACACTGAAGACCCGGCGCGGCGCCAGCGCCTCCCCGCTGACTAGCATTCCACTCGCGCCACAGGAGCGCAGCGCCGTGCCCGCCATCTAGTAGCGCAGGTAGAGGTATTAGTTCATACAATCGGCACCAGGCGTCCGGCGCGTTGCACACGTTGCGCTTGATACGCTCCAATTTCGCTAGTTCCCGCCGTTGGCACTTCTCGTACAATTTGAGTCCAAGTCAGTGCCATAGATCTTACCGGCCTTCTTCGCCATCTTGCCGAGCATGTCTAGCGAGGTCTGTGGGTAGACCGGAGGCTCAGAACCCACTCCTTCAGGCCGATCTCCCTGAGGAAAAACAGCGTGCGGTGCGGGGTGAGAGCTCCGCAGAAAAACAGCGACGCACTCGGAGCGTTTATTGGTGGCACACTCACAGCTATATCAAATTGCCGTCAGCCGGCCCAATTTATGAGTGTATGGAGGGGAAATATTTATGGGACGCAGCTGAATTTATGGGGAGAGAGGCCTACAAATCACCATATTCCCGAGTGGCAAACGGAGAACCGATCATCATACCGCACAATCGGGCTCAAGGAAATCAACATAGCCTCCTCCATCAGAAACTGGTCTGCTCCTTCAGACATATTAAGCATATCTCATTCAACACATTGGGAGAAAGCACAAT